CTTTTTTTTTCTTTTTTTCAGAAGCCCCCTGAGATCACTCACGGGTGTCGCTTTGCTCTCAGGCTAGGTGCCAAAGCCCTGGCACAGACTGAGGGCAAGGAGGAACCTGGCTTCCCGCCATGCACCAGCGCCAAGTGGTCCCTGGGGAGGGGATCCCCTTTTCCCACAATCACTCTCCCCTGCCCTCAGCAACTTTGAGCTGTGGCTGTGCTAAGAAATGGAGGCAGTGCAGCCGGGAGAGTGCTTGGCACCTTCCTGCCTGTGCCCAGCAGGCGCAGTTGGTCCAGGTCAGTTGCTGATGCAGTATTTAAGCAGCTGGGCAAGGTAAAATCAGGGTCCTTGACCTCAAGGGTCAGTGCCAAAAATTCACCCTTCACCGGTGACCTGGGGTGGTGGCCTCAAGGTAGAGCCCAACTAGGTCTTGGCTTGGCTTTGCCATCATCTGTCTTATGTATCTTAAAATTTGAACTGGGCTTCACTAAATAAAAGCCAAATAAACAGTTAAAATGCAAAACTCACAACAATCATAACCATTAAATGGTTCCTGAAGAGTCCAGGCCTTCCCAAATTTTAGGAGAGATCCAGCTGTGTTTTTTTCTGAGCTGGGATCAGGTTAGAAACTGGTTCCTGAGATTGAGGAATTGTCTCTTGGTCTTGGACAAAAGAAGGAGCAAGTGGGAAGAAGACCTTAGGCCATCAATGGGCTTTGGCATCAGTAAAAGGCAAACAGACCCTGCCTCCAAAAGAAAGACTTGACAGATCCCTTATATCTGAGTTAAGTACCTGAGTTAAGATAGGAGAGGGATGGACAGGGGAGAATTCCAGCCTATTAGTCAACCTTCCTTAACTGTGACAAAATACCTGAACAAAAAAATAGCCTTAAAAGATGAAATATTTATTTTGACTTACAGTTACAGAGGTTTCAGTCCATTGTCAGTTGGTTCCACTGTTCCTGGGCTTGTGATGAGGCGGAACATCATGGTGAGGGTGTGGCAGACCAAGCTGTTCACCTCATGGTGACCTGACAGTGGAGAAAGAGAAAGCAAAGGGTGGGGATAAGATTTGGTCCCAGAGAGCATGCTCCCAACTACCCACTCCCTTCAACCCAGGTCCCACCCCTTACTATTTCCAGCACCTCTCAATAGCCCATTCAATTATGATTAATCCTTCAGTGGATTACTCCACTGAGGAGGTCAGAATTCTCATGATCCAAAGACTTCCTAAAGTCCTGCCTCTGAATATTGTTGCACTGGGGACCATGGCTTGTCAACAAATGAGCTTGTCAGGGACATTCCAGATCCCAATTCTAACCGGCTGTGCCTGGAAGGGACACCATACTGTAAACCCCACAGGCAGGGGCTGTGTCAGCTTTGCCCATCACTGTACACCCCATGACCAGCACGGTATAGGTGCCTGATGAATATCCGATGAATAGAAAATTGAGTGAGTGACTTTGGATCTCGTCAGGCACACAGGCTGTCAAGTGCAGGCAGAAGAGGGCAGACTTGAAGGGGAAACATATAGCTCTGTACCTTAAACCCAGCAGCTACTCTGAGCACAACTGGATTCCCTTGGGTTGGCAAAGTGGTTTAGGAGAGCTTATGTCAACCCAGTGAACTCTGATGACCTACATCTGAGACTTCCAGACTTCCAAATTCCAGGAAGGGATGCCAACAAGAACCCCTGATGTTGAGACATCACTTACCTATAAGAACCCGCCGAGTCCTAACAGAGCAAAGCTGTGTGCTGGATGCTAGGACTCATAATCCATCTCTGCCCTGGAGAAGATGGGAGCCCACAAGTCCTGCAGATGGTCAGCCAAGGTTAGGTTGGTTGTGGGGAACTAGGTGTGGCAGTGCACATCAGGGTCTGTTATGGGGATCAAAAAATCAGATTCTTTGTGCCATTTTATGTTTATTATGTCTTGTTTATATTGGCAATATCTGGAGAGAAATTTTGAAAGGACATTTGATTTAATTGCTATAGTAATTAAGTGACTTTAAAACACTAGATTTAAAGAGCTGTGCCATTCAATCTTCTACTTGCAGCTTGTATATGTTCTATAGTGTCCTTTCAAGAGATCATCTTGTACAGGTTGCAAATCCTACCACTAAAAAGGCACTCACTCTTGAGGGAGCTTGTACCTTCTTCAGACAACTCTGTTGAAAGCAATTCAGCACCCTGCAATTTCTATCAATACGTTCGTCTGCCCCACTTAACTCCTGCCCCTGTTTTCCAGCTGCTTTGAGGTGGCAAACAACAGATGCTTTCAACAAAACTTATTAAAAAAAAAAAAAAAAAGAACTGAAATGTCCAGTGGAAGATCAGCCTTCAGGCTCTGCTAGATTCAGAGTGCATGCAATGCCATCAGGACTTGGCTCTTTCCAGCCCTCTGCTCTGTCTGCCCTGCACTGGCTTCAGTATCAGGCTCCTGGTGGTTATCAACATGGCTGTAAGAATTTTAGCTTTACATCATTTCAGGTTCAAGTCTGGCTCTTCCAGCAAAAGTATCATTGAATGTTATTGTTGCTGCCAACCTGAACCAATTGCTAGGGCCAGAAAATCATGAGAGATTGATTATCCCAGGCCTAGAACACACACTTCATCCCTAACCAAGTCCCCAACTGAGAACAAGCAAAGGCTGATACCAGGAAGAAGGGAAAATGTTAGAAGGGAGGTAGCCACTCTTCCGTGCCACAGCCGTGCAGGACAAAGACACCTGCTGCTTACCTCCATTCTAGAGATTTTTGACTAGTAAAGAGTTATTCTGGGTGCTTTATAATAAGGCTGCCTGATGGCTGCTTTTGTCTAAAGGGACTTGGCAGGACTGACTCAAAACAAAGCTGTGATGTCATCTCCAACACTTGTCTGCGGCTGCCTGGTCTCTTCCCCTGCCCCTTTGACAACCCTGTCATCTGCCCTAATGATCTCGTTCCACTTACCAAAGTCTGCTCTAGTCTCACTTCTCAGTGCACTCTCTCTGCAGAAGAGTTTGTCATTTAAGCCATGTCCCTCTTAGAGGGCAGACAGGGTCTGTCCCCCCTACAAAGGACTGCAGATGGTATCTTCAGTGCCCCCAGATGCCACCAAATATGCAGCCTCTCCCAGGTGTTTGGACATGGCCGGCTCAGTAGCTGTCCAACTGTGAACACATGACAAGTAGGTAGAGACCTCCAGAAGGGCCGTGTCACTGAACCAGCAGATAAATGACTCCTCGGGGTGTGGAGAGGCAGGATCAGGGTAGATGAAAGGATCCAGCTGGTCCCCAGAGCCAGGCCAGGCAGCCCTGTTGGTCTCTAAGGTTCCCACGGAATGTGATGAGTTCTCCAGTGAAGGAAGCTGGATGGAGACTTTAGAAGCCTCAGAAATGCTTTATCCTAAGAAATAAACAATCCCTCGCCTAGAAATTAGCACCATAGCTATAAAGTGTGAGACTAATCTTTGAAAAATCCCTGAGTGCAACCTCCCCCGATGCTTTCATACCTGCACACGTTTTGAAAGTGGTACTTTGAAGAGCTGTCTCCTATTTGATATTGAGTGCATGGGCATGCCAAGAGAACCACCTTCATCCCTCATAGTCATGCCCATGTGGTGTTTGTTTTTTAAACCCCCAAGCAGGGTTGTCCAGAATGATGACCCTAGATGGACCACTCTGGTCTATTTCCAAAAAAAAACAAAGTCCCGTTCAAAGAACAGAAATTTACGAAAACTTCTTAGAATCTCATTTCCAAAAGTCATGCTTTGTGCCTGAATGGCACCTACCCAGCTGCTCTAGGAGGGTGGCCTGGCAACAAGCAGACAGCACAGGCTTCTGACCTCTGGGGACCCACACATCCTGCCTTTCTGTCATGGTTGCCTGGTTCGCCTAAGATACCAGGGGTCCAAGAGGAATTTCAGACAGGTCATTCAATTCTGCCTGGACCTGAATATTTCCCACAGTGGCCTCAATAAATGTCCACCAACACCCCCAGGGAGGCAGAACTCATTTGTGTTCATACCATTTCTAGAGAGATCCACCGTCGGAGTAGAAAAAGACTTGCCCATAGCCTTCCTCGGTGGACCTGAATTGTGCTTTGGGGACCACGGGGAATAATGTAATGTCTCCTCTTCTACCCTGTAGCCCTTTAATTACTCTACAAAGAGACAGAGACAAGTTTTCTTTTCCAAGCTAAAGGCTCCATTCTTTGCCTACTTTCCAGCAGTGATACCTGGAAGACCCCTGAGAACATGGCACCATTCTTACAAGTGATTCTTGTAAGGCCAGATTCCAGGCAATACAAGGTCATTTTCTGAGGAAAGAGCTAAGGCACACGGAGAGTGAACTCACCCTTTCATATCCTTCAAGTAGACGTTATGTCCTCAAAAGGAAAATGTAATAAATAATGACATCTTCAGGGGAAACCTCGTTTCCTAAAAAAGTTTAAATTAGGGACTTTCTTTCTTAGCAGGATCTTGTCTGTGATTTTCAGATGCCTCGTGTGAAGTCATATCACTTTCCTTATTTCATCCACAGAGAAATCTTTGTGTGGGGGCCACCAACACGATTCTCATTGCCTGAGATGCTGTGGCATAATTGGAATCCTAATATATTAGTTCAAGAAAAAAAGAACAATAATAAGGGAGACTTTGTGCTCTGTACACAGTTCTGTTTCCAGGGGTCTCAGCACCCAGGTTCCCTCAATCCCAAGCCTGTGCTCTTTTAGGGCACCAGCTGCCTTGTGGCTGATACCTCCCTGTGGTTTTGATTTGCACGTCCCTAATGGCTAATGATGTTGAGAACCTGTTCACACACATTTTCACTGTTTTTTCTTTTGTGAAGGACCTATTCACCTCCTTCACCTGTTTTTAAAATTGGGTGTTATTTTTAATTATCAACTTGAAGGTACTAAATACTAATTCTAAATACTAATCCTTTGTTAGTTATACAAATTACATTTATCTTTTCTCTATCTGCCCTAACTTTTCATTTTCTTAACAGTGCCTTTCAAAGAGCACATGGTTAATTTTGATGATTTTATCAGTTTCCTCTTTTATGATGGTTCTTTTCATGTTCTAAGAAATCCTTGCCTTTCCCATATTTCTAAAGATTATCTCCTACAGGTTCTTCTAGAAGTTTATAATATTAGCTTTTAAACTTAGGTCTATGCTATATCTCAATTGAATTTTGCATATGGCATGAAATAGTGATTGAACTTCTATTTTTCATAAAGATATACAATTATTCCAGTACCATCGGTTGAAAAGACCATCTTTTCACATGAACTACCTTGGCACCTTGGTGAAAACTGACAATTTGTATGAGTCCGTGTGATTCTTGTTAACTTTTCCACCCTTCTCTTTTAGGTCCTGCTCCGGGGGAGCCAACACCAAGGGACTTGTATCAAGTATTCCTAGCTTCTTTATTCATGATAACTGAACACTGGAAAAAACTCCTATGCTCATTAGCAGGAGAATGAAGAGTGGCATGTTCAGACAAAGGAAGATATTTGAAAACAAAAAGGAAAGAGCTTCTGATACAGGCCCACACATAAGTCAGCCTCAAAAGCATTATTCTGAGCAAAAGAATCACACATAAATGAGGCTATATCATTTCCCATTTATATGAGGCTCTAGAACAGGCAAAACTGAGCCATGGCAATAGAAAGAGTAAGTGGGTTGACCTTTGGTAGAGACAAGAAAAGAAGACTAAGGGAAGCTTGTGAAATGCAGAAACATTCTGGAGTACTTCTGAGATGTTGATTACCTGGGGACATACACCTGTCAACATTCGTCCTCACTACCCTTAAAATCTGTGGTTTTATTGTGCGTGCTTTATATCTCAATTTTAGAAAGGAAAGAAGGAGGGAAGGGAGGGATAGAGAGTGAAGGAAAGAAGGAAAAGAAGAGGAAGAGGAAGAGAGAGAGAGAGAGACAGAACATCATATGATGTGGAGGAAAATTCTCAGTAGTTCCCCAGGCAAACAACAAAAAAAGTTCTGGTGTCTCACAGAGACCCAAACAAAAGGTTGCTTTGAGGATATATTTGGAAGCTGTTCAAATTCTCCTTGCAAAGAAATAATCAGATAATAATATGTTATTTTTCCAGACATATACATACTCTGAAAAAACAAAAGCTTACCCAGTAGTATAGCATTCTGCTTCATGCTGCAACTGGTTAAAGGCATCAAAAGGTATAAGACAGGCTACGTTGTGCTTCTCACTGCACGCAGGCTGGACCCTGAAGGGCTTCAGGTCTCTGAGCATCTCTGCGTATCGAGCATCTCTGAGTTGGACAAAACTCTGGCACCATCCATCCAATCTTCCTTTGAACCAGAGTCCCAGCACCGAAGCCGTGTAGAAATTTGGCCACTGATCTGGTCCAACTGGTGAGCTCAGTACACTCCAGCCCACTCTCTAGGGACGACTCTTCATTTGTTTTCAAGTTCTTGGTCTTCATTAGCCACCAGTCTTCTTTCCAGCATCTTTCATGTGCTGGTCTGTCTTACCTTCAGAAAAAGCGAAGGACAGCTCCCCACCTACGTTCTCCATCTGGCGGGGAGGACCGGCTGTTCACTTGATCCACCCTTCTTCTTCCACACCACTTCTTGCTTTATAAGTGCTGCAGAAATAGCTGCCAAGGAAAAGAACGTGTTCTCCTTCATGACCCAGGAAACTCCAGGTCTGAAGTACTATTCTGGGACTGAAGTCACTGCAGAGCCGGGGGACGGTGCCCGCACAGGATAACTGGAGATGCAGGAAGGAGTTCTCAGCCTCTCAATGTCAGCCTTACCCAACTGTCATTGGGAAGTGAAGGGGTTCCCTCCTCAAAGATCCCCCTTTAAAATGCAGGATTCCCCAAGGCAAACCTCTGGCTGTTTATTAACAATGATGCCTCATTTTTCATGCATGGATGTGCTGTTTGTGGCACACTCTTTCATGGGTTTGACCAAGGTGAGGACCAGGAGCTCATATGTAAGAGGAGGTACTGTTATCATTATTATTTCCATCTTTCTTTTTGGAAGATAAATCTCAAGCAGTTCCATGGCTCCCCCAGATCAGCTAGACAGGCATTTACAGATCTGGAAGTCATGGGCAAAACTTCCTCCCATAAAGTGCCTGTTCAGTATGCCAAGGCCTTAGCCCTCCCTATTCAGGTGAAGACTGACTCGCTTCTGGGAAAGCAGAAGACCAATAGAGGACCCACGTCTGGGAAAGTAGGAGAAAGCATGGGACAGGGTATTGGGGATGAGGAGAAGGTGCTGATGATGGAAAGGAAGGGAGGTTCCTGCCCACCTTTTCCAGCCCCACAGTTTGGCCAGGCACACCTGTCCTTGGAGAACCTTGCACACAGCAGGGATTCAGAATATGTCGCAGCTACAATTACCTGACCAAGCCTTCCAGACCAGTGAGTGAATCAATCAATTCCTCTAGTAGCTACGGGTGGAAAGCCCAACTCAAATCAAATGGCAATAATGTCCAGAGGGGTACTTTGCTCAGCTTGATCCAGGCTCAAACAATCTCATAAAACCCGGTGTCTTCAGTGATGTCATTCAATAACATTTCTCTGTTATCTCCTTACTCAAACTGGTTGTCTTCCTTTTGGGCAAGTTGATAGCTCTAACTTACAGCCTCTCAGATTCAAGTTTTCAGAGAGAAGAAAGAAAAAATAAAATGAACAGAAGTGTGTGTTCCTAATAGCTCCTGCAAACGCTCCCAAAGTTTGTTCTGGTTAGACCAACTTGGGTCATGTGGCCTTCTTGTGGCTGAGGGTTTGGGATGTCATTATGCCCACTGGGTCTTTGACACACACCCTTATACCCAGAGGCTCAAAAGTGGAGAGGGAGTAGAGATCCTTGAGCACCACGAAGTCAGGTGTTGTCAGGAAGAAGGACCAAGGAATATTGGGAAGGCAGATTTCGAATGCCCACTTTACAGGTCCCACTAGAAGGCAATCGCCATTAGAACAGACCTTCCTTACGCTTGCTGCTATGTCCCCTAGAACGCAGCTGGCGTGGAGTCAGACCTGAGCAAACACCAACATCTGTTGTATGAACAAAGAGAACAAACTTCCCATTTGGGGAGAGTCTTTCAAATGTGATATTCTGTGACGGTTTTGCTCATCTCTCTGTTTCTCTGGACTTCAGAGTTGCGTCCACAGCACACCCGTGTCTCGCCCTGCTTCTGCTAAACCCACCTTCCTGAAAGCCCACTTGCCACCTGGGCTCAAAGCGACAGCACGTGTGATTTTCCACCATGGTGCAGGTGACACTGATGAATTCCACAAGTTTATTTGCACACACACACAGGCTAGGTCTTGGATCTCAACTTCTAAAATGATCTTTTCCACCTTTTCAAAGACACTAAAGAGTCTATTGCAGGGAAGTGGTGTGTTGGGAGCAGTGCTAGGTGGCTAGAGACGCACCGTGATCAGTGGCTCCGAACAGCACTGCCAACGACCAGCAGCACAGGCCTCTGGACTTCCAAAGCCACTGTCCTACAGGTGTGCAGTCTTTGTAGACATGGACAGAACACTGCTTCCCTCCTGGGAATCAGGTTTGCCTTATCTGATGTGCTGCTAACCAACTCCTCCAAATAGGACTCCCAGAGCTGTAGAGCTCTCCAACCACCATGTGTGTTTAATGCTGGGATTTTCTTTTCCTAGGAAAAAGAAAGTCAAGAATCTCTAGTGATTATCAGATTAGATTACCGATGACTCCAATAAGCAGCAATTCAAGCCTTGTGCCATAGATGAATTAAAGAGCACTCTTTAAAATGGTTCCACTTGGTATATACAAGGTCATCCCATTGGAACCATTAAAGGTACCATGTAATGCATCCTGCCATGGTTAGACCTGGAATCAGGCCTACCTGGGCATCTGACCCTGTGCACCTAAAGACTCAACTTAGTGAGGACCCTTATACATGATGAAAGGGGGGGAGTGACCTGGAGTAGGCCACAGGTCCATCCAGGTATCCCTGAGGCTGACATTTCCAAATACTGCCTATAACTAGGGTTCCAAAATAAGTGGCCCCCGCTCCAGGACAGGTATCCATAGTGTTCCACCTAAGCCATCGACATTTCCATGCCTGATTCTGATATGAACTTCAAGACATGTATGTGAGATCACCAAGGCCAGCTCAGCACAAAGAAGATCCATCCAAACAGGAGAACCATTTAATGACCAGCTCCCAGCAACCACTTTTTTGAGGTCTCTTGACTCGGGGACAGTGAACATCCATTGCAAAGAGTTTGCTCTCTTTATGCTCATAGTCCTTCATGTTCTCCTGGGGACCACTCTGGTGTAAGATCTACCATTAGAGCCCAATGTTACATGTTGCCTCTACGTCAGGTGACACCAGGACGCTTTCTCATGGGCTCAAGTTTTCCTCCTTACTCTGCTCCTGTGGCTAAGGTCTCCTCGCTGAAGGACCCTCCTAAAAAGGAGACCCGGGAGAGCTCCCACTTATGCTGAGGGTCGGGTTCCCCTTCTCTGCCAGCCTGCAGAATTATCCCAATGGGCCAACCATATCCTCCCATTGGAAACAGGGGGTCACCTGCCCTCTTGGTACTACAAACCCCACCTCCACAGCACTTGGGTGTCCACTCTACTCCCAAGTGTGGCCTCCATGCTTCCCATGGCATGGACCATTCTGCCCCTCGTCTGCAAGTGTGTGACCACAGTACTGACCTTGTCTGTCTAGGACAGAAGACATTTTGACCATCACCACAACTCTTGGACAGGGGTCCATCCCCCACCAACAGGATAAGTGGGAGGTGATAGGACAAGCACTGCCCCCCTGCTCTGGGACCTTGTGTTTCCAGTGACGATGACCTCCTTCCGGCCTCCAGGATGAGTGTTTGATTGGGGCCTGGCCAACTGGAGTCCAGGGACAGGCTCACAACTCAGTGGGAGGCAGTGAGATGCAATACGACTTCTATTGCCAAGAAATGCCCTCTTTCTTCTCATGTGGACCCAGATGTTGGAGGACCTAGGACTGAAGCAGGCGCCCTTCACCAGGTAGATCCTAAAAATTAATATAAAGAGAACAGAGATATGATTTGGAGAGATCAGGCCCTACTGAGACCGTGGAGTCCTGAGGCAAGCTACTCCAAAAGCCACTAATGCAGCTATTCTGTAAATATAAAATACACGAGATGCTGCATTCCTGGTGTTAAGACAGTTTTATTTATTTATTTATTTATTTCTGTAAGATTATCTTGAATCATCAAAATCTACTGTATCAATCACAGAGCATTTTCCAGATATCTACCATGTGCCTAGCATGGTCCGTGCTGAAGGGTACAGGCAGAATCAGAAAGTGTAGAAGCCACAGGGGTTTTCTCAGGGAAGCCACAGAACAAGACGCTAATGACTAAGTGCCACCGCACATGGCGGGCTCTGCAGGGGAGAGAAGGTGGCTGTTGTGTCCATCCACTCCAGAGCGAGTCACTTCCTCCTGGCCATCTCGTGATCCATGTGCATGGCCAGAATTTCAGCGGAGGACAGGCGGCCGTGGTGTCCCCAGAACAAGGCTGGCCCCTTCCCATCTTACCTGGCGCTCCTCTCCTTATCCAATTCACAGGTCTGTTTTATAACTTTCTAGGACACAAGATGTTCTGACACTTGAGTAATAAGTGATATTCACAAGTGTTTTCCCCTTCTCCATGCAAAGGGTGCTAATGAGAATGGGTGCCGCTCCTCCCCCTTCTCCCCCTCCCCAACCTTTCTCAGAGCAGAAGGCAACAGTCCTCCCTCCAGACAGAACATTAGGCTCAACACCAACCACATCTTTTTTTTAAAAAAAGAGAGAGAGAGAAAGAGAAAGAGAGAGAGAAATTTTTAATATTTATTTTTTAGTTCTTGGCGGACACAACATCTTTGTTGGTATGTGGTGCTGAGGATTGAACCCGGGCCGCACATATGCCAGGCGAGCGCGCTACCGCTTGAGCCACATCCCCAGCCCCCAGCCACATCTTTACACAGGAAAAACACAAAGTAGAGACGCAGTGAGCTCAGTCCATGCCCACACCTAAAGATTTTCTCTGGTTGGGCTGGGGTGTGGCTCAGCAGTGTGAGCCCTGGGTTCAATCCTCAGCATCACATATAAATAAATAAAATATATAGCTATTAAACAAAAAACGTATTTTCTCTGGTTGTGTCCAGCTAAGTTAAAGTACAAGGTTAATAAGCAGGCCAGAGTCCCAGTGGGCCCACTAGGTAGGGCAGCCAGATACCCCTTTAATCACTAATCACCGACCCCAACATAAGGAAGCCTGGGGCAGGGGCAGGGGTTTGCACTAGCACCTGTGTGGACTCACACCTCTAGTCACTAATGGAAACACAGGTGAGGAGTGCAGCCACAGGGGAGGGGTTTGCACTAGCACCTGCGTGCAAACTAGCACATCCAGATCTGATTTTCTGGGACCCTTTGTTTTGAAGAATTTTATATTCACAGAATAACACAAAGAATACCCACAGAGCCTCGCCTGGGCCCACCAAGCACTGTCATTTGCCACATTGGTTTCATTCCCACCCCCAGGTAGACAGGT